GTGTGTGTGTGTGTGTGTGTGTGTGTGTGTGTGTGTGTGTGTGTGTGCATTGCCTACTTCTGTGTGTTATCTGGCTTGGTGATGCTGTATTCTGCTGTTGCATAAGACGTGCTCAGCAGTTGGATTTAGAGTAGCCTATGTATGTACGTTGAGCTTGCTGTGGTGTTCGAAGCCTTTTGTATTAGTCCATTTTGTTTATTGCACAGTTTAGTGCTCTTATGTGGCTTACTGTCACTAGTTACTATTTATCAGCTGAACTGAGGAGGTTACTTCCTGGTATGGAAGCAGAACCACAGTGTTATTACGTAGTTTGAACTAGACCATTTAGTGAGTATTGACAGCCATTCACAAAGTTTCACCTTGGCTGATGTTTGGCTCCTCCCTCCAGCTCTGGCCCAGACTCTGAGCTGCTCTCCTTCTCTCGGTTCCTCCTCTTCTTCTTACTTTTGTGTTTTTTGTGCTTCCTGTGTTTCTTTTGTGAACCACTGGCCCTTAAGTCTTCCTGTTTCTTTCTTTCTGAAGTGGCTTTTTCTGTTTCAACCATTTCAATGCCATCGCCCACTCCTTCACCAGCACTAAGGGACACACAGAGGCAGAACATAAGAGTTATTATTCACTCGTTCATCTCACTGCCCAGCACAGCTCAATGTTAGTTCAATGTCTAATAACAGGAAACCTGAGCTTCGATGAGAACATTCATTCAGAGGACGAGTTATCTCAATACATCTGCTGAGTAAAAACCAGAACAGACCTTCTGGTGCATATAACTTTTGATGGGAATTTACTAAACAAAGTTAGGCAGATAAGTCAAAATATGATATTTTCAATGCATCTGCCAGGAATCAAAACCTGTAGCTACTTTTCACAGGAATGGGTAAGTTATGCTGGACCAACACTATGTCTGATTCAATATTTAGTTTTAGTTAATCATGTGCTTATTGTTAGGAGAAAGGACTATATTTACAAGGGTGCGTGGAGACTCAGAAGCATGACGTTACATGAATCATTTGAGTATGCATTTGTTCCTCTGAGAGCGAGCTAACGGGAATACGTTATGCATTTATGCGATGTATGCAACTAGCGAACGACTGAAAAGGTGTATTCCACAGAAACTATCGTTGTTGCCATTACTATTTGTATCTCAACGTTTAAATGTACAAATAAAAAACTATGACATTAGCTTGTTATTCCCAAGCAGCAAGCGGCCGCAGTAACGTTAGCTGGAAAACTGTCATGTTAGTTCACTTCTATTCACTTGCTAGCTAACAATATTTAACAATCACTAAAACTAAAACAAAACATAACATTCACATACGTTTTGTCTTCATTCTGGTCTTCAATTTCTCTTATCTTATTCAATATAAAATCTTGGAAAATTTGCTCTATATTGGCCGCCATGTTTACGTGTGTACCTCATTGTATGTCCGGGTAGGAACTGTTTCGTTCTTCGCTATGTTCCGGGTGTCAGTATGTCTCCCCATCGTCAGCTGGGCTACTCAGTGGCTGCGGTAGAAAAGTCCAAAAACGTACCTTCTAACGTCTATTCCTAACCACTTTTCATTGACCTCAATGGAAAACGTCATGAGTTAAAGGGAAGATGTGAAGGAGAATTCATGAGGAGTTAGGAAAAGACAACCGTGGTGCTTCGAGAATCCACTACACTTTCACTAAGCGTAATTGTGATGCAACGGCGCATGTCACTGACGGAGGTCTGCTACGGCAAAACTACAACGAAGGACTACAAAGAGCACAACTAAAACATGGCCTAAATCAGGGGTGTCAAACTCCCGGCCCCCGCGGGCCGAATCCGGCCCGCCACGTCATTTTATGTGGCCCGTGAATCCGCCAGCAAAAAAAAAAAAAGTTTAAAAAAAATAAAAATAAAAAGTCGTAACTATGATAGAAAGTCAAAATTATGGTAGAAAGTCAAAATTCTGAGATAGAAAGTCAAAATGATGAGATTGAAAGTCAAAATGATGAGATACTTAAACACAGTCACAGAAGCAGCTCTTTGGCTGGTTACTGTACACTTGAAATGGAAATGTATTGCGAGTACATTGAAGACTACTTTAAACGTGACTTTACAACACATGAAATACTTCATGTGGGATTGTGCAAACACACCCTTGAAAGGATTTTAAGCATTGAACAAAGTTATTGTAATAACTTGTGTTTGATATTTTCTTTAATAGTTTGATCTTTGATAGAGTAATGAGTAATGTTTCTTAACCCTAAATTAAAAGGATTTAAGTTATAATAACAGAAATGTGCTTAAATATATTTTTACATTTATATAACTGCATGTACAATATTTTTACACTTGAATAAACAATAATCAAATGCAGAGAGTTATATAACAATATGTTACGAATAGTTACATTTACAACCGGCCCTTTGTGGGCGACCATGATGCTGATGTGGCCCGGAGTGAAAATGAGTTTGAGACCCCTGCCCTAAATAAATCTATTATTCATAACATGAAGGCTGTATGAAATGCTCCTTCTGTGACAGACTGCTTCACTCGAGGTGTGAAGGATAGAAACCGGAGCTCCTTCCTTCCTGCTGCTGTCACACTTAACAATCAACACTACTTCAGTGTGATTCTCTGATGCAATATCAATGAAACTGTTCAATATCAATATATCATATCATATCATATTCAACGGTTCGGTTATATTGTGCTTTTTAACAGTTTAATAATCTATCATAGGCCTAGTTTGTTTTTTTTACTGATGCTTCTTGTTATTGACAATGAAAATGTGTTAATTGACAGTTTGCTTTATATATTGTTAATTAATTAATTTAAGAATTGATTTATATTCTTGTTTTTTTACCTTAAATGTTTTCCATGGACGACCAAATGGTGCGGTGCCAAAAGGAATTGTGTGGCAGCATTATATTATTTCCTTTGGTAAAGGAAGGTCCAGTGTTTCCTATGCTAAAGGAACTAAGAAAGGAAGCATTGAAGCACCTTTCCTTAGCATTTAGATAATTGGAACAGCTCTTATCATGGCGGCCACTTAGATACTTCCGGATCATTCTACTCAGTTAGGAACCTTCCTAAGCAAAAAGGACTTTTCGACTGCAGCCTGACTGTTAGAAAGAGATACCAACGGGTTCTGACCAAGAGTCAGGATGTGAACAGGTTGCTTATTCTTATGGAATTAATCAAACTATATGTTGTTTATCTAAGGAAGTGCATTCCTTAGATTCATTGGCTATACGAAGCGTCAGTCATCAGAACGATCGGTTGCAAGTGGCTCGGTCTTTACACAAAAGAAGAGGGACGGGCACTTTCCTTCAACGCGGACTCTCGTTGGCTATTGTAGGCTGTGGACAGGACATGGAAGCTCCTATTGGGTGAAGTGAGGTGTTAATCGGTTTTCATGCGAACCGGAGTTATACGTTGAAAAATACACATAACTAAAAGAGCGTTTAAGAAAATGCCTGGTAGTTATTAAAATGTTCAGCAATAAGTGTGGCGATTTATTCATATTTTTGAATCGCTCTACATATTTTTGACAAACATGTTTTAGTTGAAACGTGCCACAACACTCGGAGTCACCCAGACCTTTGTCCACATTATACACAACTTCAACAACATCAGTAACCAGTGGTGCCGTGAGGTCACGATGGAGAGAGAAATGCCATCTAGGCTGTTAAATAAAATCCAATAAATGATTCAATAAATGAAAATGATATGGTATAATATATAGAATTATTGAATTGCATTACAAGTCGGTGCTTCAAAATATTTGCATTTATTTTCAATTAAACTGTAAGAAACGTGATCATGTAATGAGGTTTGACTCTATAGTTTTTCATTCAACTTTTTTCTTAGACAGAGGAATTCTTCTTAACAAGTGGATACAAAATTGAGCAAAAATGCATCAATTTGCCTATTTCAGGTCAGACTTTTGTGGCTACATATATTTGGGTGTATTGTATGATATTAAGTCAGGACAGGACCCGGGTTGTCACTTTTATTAATTTATACAACAAGAAAAAGATAATCTTTTGTGTTTATTCCCCTTCTTGGAAGCTGGTGAGACTTAAAGGTTCTCTAGGGAGTCGAATCTTCAACCCCTGCATCTCCATCATCTGCGCATGCGCCTTAGTAGGTGAGAACATGTATTTACTCGTTCTTTTGGACAGAAGAGTTGCACTGCAGAGAGCCTTTGGGGTCCAGTCCTCTCCACACAGATGCCAGTAATGCAGGCTGTGCTGGCCCAGGTGACTCCTGGAGTAGCAGGCTTAACCCAGCAGACAGTTCTACAAGGTTGTGCTCGTGGTCAGTGCCATCCGACATTTCAAATATGACCTTGGGGGCCTCCACTTCACAGTCAGGACCGAGCACTCTGCCTTACAGTGGCTCATTTATTTCAGAGAGCCAGAAGTCCAGCTGGATTGAGGAGCTGCAGCCGTATGATCTCACTGTGGTCCACAGGCAGGGCACGGAAACACCGACGCACTTTCACGCCGCCCCTGCAGCGCTGATGGCTGCAGCTACTGTGAGAAAAGAGAGGCACAGGAAGAAGAGCGGCTGACAACCCCATGTGAAATGTGCTGCAGTGGGACCGGAGGGCACATCTGCAGGCCACGGACTGACAGCTGTGGACGCAACAGAGTGGGGGTGCAGACAGCAAGAGGACGTCGACATCCACCACAGACCAGGGCAGAAACTTTGAGTCCTGTGTCTTTGCTGCCATTAGTGACAAACTGGGCTCGCACAACACCCCAAAAAACATGACATACAGTTGTTGTACATTCAGTGTTGAGGAAAACATGAGATAAGCTTTCAGTTTTTGATTCAACATAAAAAAAATAGTTAAAAAACTGAATAAAAAAAGAAGTAAATCAAGACAATTAAATAAATAGAATCAGGTAAAATGTTTTGTTTTCATACAAAGGAGTAGCACAGGTGGATTAAATGTTTGTCCTAAAGATGCAGTTTTTGACATGAGTACACACACAAGCACAAGCACACACACACACATACACTCATGTATAGTGTATTTATATAACACACGGCCTGCCACATATATATATATATATATATATACTGTATATATATATATATATATAT